CCTCGCACCCCGAGGGACGCTGGGCAGCTGCTCAACCCCCTGAGATCGAGTTCTGGTCCTCTGCGTGCAGTGGAGATGATGCAGGGAGGGATGCTAAAGACGGGGTGAGCCTTCCCCGGGTTGCACACCCACCGACAAAAGCCAGCACCCACGACCCTCCCCTAGGCGACAGAGAGAGCGAATCAGAGGGAACAGCCCCTCCACGTGCCACGAGCCATGTGCACGGCCCTCCCGCCCCCGCACCTGAGCGCACCCGATTCCTTGTGGCCATTTCACGGCTCTAGTTCCTCCCGCGACCCCCTCCGCAGTCCCCATTGTACTGCAATCGCTCTGAAGTATCAAGAAAGTCTTCTTTTTTTTCTCCAATCAAACGGGGAGAATTCTAACATCTTAAGTCTGGGTGCCGCCTGGAAAGGTCACCCGGTGCACATCCTTGGCTTCGGATGGGACCGCTTTTAACTGAGCCAGACAATTAGGAGCTTTTTCTACATATTTGCCTAAAAAGGACCCTCCTGTCTCTTCCTGTGGCTTAACAAGAAGCTAATTTTAACACATCAGAAGAGATATTTAAAGGGCCGAGCAATATGCAGCCAAATGTGCCCATTATCCCTCCAAGCCGTTTGCAGGTGACCCCAGTAACACATGGGCCGTCCGGGCCAAGTTTTCGTAGAGTCCATAAGGTCAGCCTTTCTTGTTCTTGACTTTGTAAATCGAATGTGGACGTCCCACACATGCAGACAGAGACCTGAAGGCAGGACAAGCAGATGGGGACAGACGAGTCAGCCTGATCTATAAATGACAATTCTGGGGAGAAGTTAGACCATTACTGCTTCGAAACCAAGAACCCCTCGCCTGCTCAGCCTCCTGCATGCGGAGCGCCAGCTGCTGCAGCTGACAGCCTAGTCTTTTACGTATTTTATCTTAGCCTTCGAATTCCTCAAGACAGATAAACCAATTAAAAGAGGAAAATAATGTCGGTGCTCGCAGCCAACGGAAGAGAGATGCATTGGCCAAGGTCCAACGCCTGCTTTGGAGGGAGCCAAGGGTATTCCCGAAAGAGCCATGAGACTCGAGGGGAGAGCGCCAGGGATGACAGAGGAGGGACAGTGTCCCTGCAGTCAGGGCCTCTGCCTGGGAGGACCCATGTGAGGACAGGAGTCGCCCCCGAGGCTCAGGGGAGGCTGATGCTGCAAGCTAAGGGCAGAGCCTCGCCTTGGGGTGGGCAAGGCCTTCGAAGGGCTCCGCCCTTCACCCCGGTTCTCGGGGCAGCTCCTGGGCAGAGCCCCATCCTTCGCTCACACGCTAGCCGTCTGACCTTCATTTTCACCTTGCCATCTCCGAATGGGTCTCACCTGGGGGAAATTTTGACTTCCAGGGAACATTTGGCCTTGTCTGGAGACATTCTTAGTGTCACATCTGGGGAGGCGGCTGCTGCTGGCCTCTAGTGGGTAGAGGCCAGGGACGCTGCTGACACCCCACAATGCACAGGACGACCCCGCAACAGAGAATGGTCCTGTCCAAAGTATCAGCAGTGCCGAGGCTGAGAAATCCTGACCCACAGCCTCGGGTGGACATTCCTGAAACCATCACGCTGGCCCTGCAATGGCACCACTTTGGGGACTGTGCACCCCCTACCCCAGCTGCCTGCCAACCCCCACATCACAGGGCAGCGACGAGGAGGGCGGCCGGGAGGCGACAGCAGCCGCGAGTGGGCAGAGCGGTGAGACGAGAAAGGGAGAAGGCCAGGACCCCTGCTCCCCACAGGGCGTGAGACCGCACGGGCAGCAGCAAGGACACGGCAGACAGGCAAGACAGTGGCTGTGCTCGGACAAGACGTTCTCCTAGACGCCAGGCCACAGAGACTGCACTGTCTATTCCTGTGTGTCGTTTGTCTGAAATGTAATGAAATCAGACGAGTGTGACTCGGGCGTGTGTGCGAGGCGGGGCAGGGGCGGTGCGGGTATCATGGAGGCAGGCAGGCAGCTCTCCCAGATAGGCCATTGTTTGATTAAACCAAATCACCCCCGAAGGAGCAGACAGAGCCAGGAACAATGAAAAGCACCTCCGCCCTCGCCGCCAGGTGTCAGTCCGCCACCTAGGCCTATACCAAGCAGCCTGGGGACACAGGAGCTGCAGATGCATTTGTGTGAGGGAAAGGGAAGTGCCTTTAAGGGCAGCCTTGTTCATCCCTTCACTGCTGTGAGACCTGAGCAGCCCCATGCGGGAGCCCTGGCACAGGCAGCAAGGGAAGGGGCGTTTGCAAGGAGTTCCGAGGCCCAGGAACTGGGTGGGATCTGAGCATCTTGCCTTAAAAATTCACAAGCGTTTTTATTCCCCTCTGCAGTATAACCGCATTTGTCCTCACAGTTTCCAAAAGCTGACGCTGCTGGCTGTGGCGGAAGCCGGTGCTCCGGGGCCACATGCCAGGCCTTGCCCGCGGCTGCCTCTGCCTCTGCCGCTCAGCCCGGCACCCCCAAGGATGCGCCCCCACCGGAGGAGCTCTGCCCTAGGGCTACACCGAGTCACAGCAAGAAGGAGCACATGCGACCAACATGTCTAGTCCCAACAAGACAAACCAGGGTGCACACCTTCAGCCCTGGGTGGCGGTGATGGTAACTAACGCTCTGGGCCACTCTGTATGGCTTTATCACATCCCATACTCCTAAGATTAGGATAAGGACTATCATTACGCCCTTTTTACAGTTGAGGAAACTGAGGCTCAGGGAGTTAAGTGGCTTAACCGGGGTCACACTGCTGAGCCACCAGTTGAACCCAGACTGTCTCGAGTCCGAGCCCGCTGCAGCGTGAGACCACACAGTGCTCGGGCGCTGCCCGAGAGGGAAGACAGTGTGTGGATCTCACTCCCTCATTCACTCAACACACACTCAGCAGGTTCTGTCCACGCGGACACGTGGTCCTGGGAAAGGGAGACAGAGAGACGCCATCTGAGCCTGCAGGGCTCGTTCTCTGCGTGGGGCTGCAGGGGAGATTCCCGCGGTAAATGCCACAGGAGAGAAGAGAAGGGCGAGACCCAGGGGTCAGAGCCACCAGGAAGCTCCGAGAGGCGGCGTCGGAGGGCGAGCCGCCAGGAGCAGGAAGGGTGCTGCAGACGGTAGTTCTCCAAGTGCGGGTCCCGCAGCGTCGGCGTAACCTGGGACTTGTTAGAAACGCACACTGCGAACCCGCGATTCTGAGGGCGAGCGTCGTAGCAAGTCCTGCAGGTGACGCTGGTGCCCGCTCAAGCTTCGGAACCCCTATTCTGGCAAAAACCCCAGAGAGGATGACGTGTGGCGTGTCTGAAATCAGGCGGGGGCTTACTGTGGCGGACGCTGCCGGCTGCCTCCTTCTTGGTTTGTGGGACTCTGTGTCCGAGCAACAGTGTGCGTAGGGAAGGTGGATGAATCCTGCCTGGCCTAATCCAAGCGTCTCCTTTGGATGGTTAAGGAGAAAAAAAAAAAGGAAATCATCTGGGGTCTTCTAGAGAAAGTTCTGAAGATCTGTGGTGGTTTGAACGGTGCTCCTCAAAGACGCATTCACACCCTAATCCCAGAGCCCGTGGACGTGACCTCACTCCCAAACAGGGGTCTGTGCAGATGGGACTGAGCTGAGGGTCTGGAGATGAGATCGCTCTGCATTAGAGTGGGCCCCAAATCCAATGACAAGCGTCCTCACAAGAGGCAGGAGCAAGGAAGACACAGGCACAGAGGAGACGCCCATGTGAAGACGGAGTCAGAGACGGGAGTGACGCAGCCACACAGCCAGGGACGCCTGGAGCCACCAGAAGCCAGAAGGGACAAGAAAGGACCCACCCCTGAAGCCTCCAGACTGTGCGAGAATAGGTTTCTCAGTTAAGCCTCCGCATCTGGGCAATCTGTCACAGCAGCCACAGGACACCGAGACACCATCCACACAGGTACTGCCCTGAGCGCTTTCGTCTCCTCCCTACCGCACACTCGCACCTCTCAGGCCTGCGTTTGTTTGTTTGTTTGTTTTCTGTGTTCCTGCTGAACTGTGAGCACTAAAAGGGCACAGTCTGACACCGTACCTGGTACCAGGTAGGTTCCCCATAAATACTCGTTGAATGAGCACGTGCATGAAAGAAGGTGACATAAGGGTCCAAGCCCACCTTCTGACTTCAAGCAAATGTTTTCTACACATTAACAAAGTTACAGAGTAAAGACACATATGGTCCGTAATATCACAACGCCGAGGTGGCTGATGCGTGTTCAGTAACACCGCACAGGTAGACTGGAAGTGCATGCCACCTCTCCAAAGCCCGGCTGTCGGGCAAATGAGCCGACAGGGGAAAACTGGCTGATGGAGCCTAAGGCAGTTTCTCAGCCTCAGCGCTGCAGACACGGGGAGCGGGGTAACTCTTTGTTCAGGGAGGGGCTGCCCTGCGCAGTGTAGAACGTGAGCAGCATCCCCGGTCTCTACCACTGGATGCTGTTAGCATAACCCCCCGCCCTCCACACCCAGCTTTGACCTCCAAAATGTCTCCAGACATGGCCAGGTGTCCCTGGGAAGCAAGATCGCCCCAGATTGAGAACCGCTGGCCTAAGGAATCCACAAACAGACAATAAACTCGGCCTCCCCGAGACTGGAGAACAAGCGCACCCACCATGCCGCGTAGATGGAAATCCACCAGATAGATCAGAACTGGGTCCCGGGGAATGCATGCAGAGAAGGCAGATCGCTTCAGCCCCCAGACAAGTGAGAGAAGAAGACGGGAGGCTGGAGCACGGGCTGCCATATGCTTAGGCTGGTGCCCACCGGCAGACCAGCTGAGCAGCAGGACTGTGAGGAGAAGGTGCAGCCTTTCATTTTCACTGACAAGCACTGTATCCAGTCCTGCAGGGTGGCCTACGAATCAGCCCTGCCAGTCGAAGGAGCCCACGAAGGACACACACAGCGGTCCCTCCGAGCACAAGGGCGTCGCCCCAACTCTGCAACAAGGTACCATTCCCACCCCTGCCTGGCAGCAGCCAGAGCCAAGGGGGTCACCCCGAGGGCACTGGCTTCATCCCAGTGCAAGGGAAGCAGAGGATCTGGAGGGGGTGAGCATAGAGCCAGAGTGTCGATGACGAAGATGACATCATGTAGCATTTATCGAACACCTTCTCTGTGCGGAGCACTGTGTGAGCCAACTCAAAGCACCTAGAATAACAATTGTCAGTGTCCAGCATCCATCTCTAATTTTAAAAGGAGGATAAACAAACAGGATTGGTAGGCACACAGCAGGAGGCTTTGACAGACCGCTCTAGTCCTTAATGGAGAAACCAGGTAGAAATTAGTGGGGCTGCAGAGGACGCGGTGAGGCCGTGAGCGAAGTGTGGTTAATATAACGAACACCCAGGTCCTGCTACTCGGCTTTAAAGGACATCACTTTTTTTTCTGTATTTACAGCAGACCCTTTTGTTGAATAAATAAAATGCTACTGAGACTTTGAAGCTGTCTCCATCTCACCGTGTCTTCTCCTCGCCCTCCCTCCCCAGTGGAAACCCTGCTTCTTACGGTGATGGATATTCTATGATACTTTTGGTGATATATGTGCCTATATCATTGACACTTTGGCTCATAAAATCATATGTGACATTGTTTCCTGTTTTTACACAAATCGTATCATGATGAACATGTTCTTTTCCACCTTCTTCTTGCCACCCTCCCCCATATTAAGTTTTTGAGAATTTTCCAGCTTGATATTCGTGGATCTAATTTTATCATTTTATCTGCCTCAGAGTAGTCCATTGCATAAATTAACCACCCCCCCCCCGCCCCCATCGATGGAAAAATTGTCTTCCATGAAACTTAGGAACTGGGCCATGCAGCAGCAGGTGAGCGGCGGGGGAGTGAGGGAAGCTTCATCTGTGTTTGCAGCCGTGCCCCATCACTCACATGGCCGCCTGAGCTCCGCCCCACCCCCATCCATGGAAAAACTGTCTTCCGTGAAACCGGTCCCTGGTGCCAAAAAGGTTGGGCACCACTGTTTTAGGGTACAGACATAGCAGTAGAGTTGCAGGATGATAGGGTATAAACGTTTTGACCTAACTAGATATTAACAAACGACTTTCCAAAGTGGCTAAAATAATTTACACCCCCAACAGTGGGGTGTGTGTTACTGTTTGCTAGAGTCTTATTTTCTCAAATCTTCAAGGAACTGGTTATTCCTACACCATTTAAACAATTCCAGTGCATTGAGAAAGACAAAAAGTCACAGAATGGTTTTTCAAAAGCCAGCGTAACCTGATTACCAGGGCCTGACATAGATGCCCACGGAAAAGGCAATTCGAGAAAGTTTATGCAGAAAGCTTTAAAAAAGCACGAGCGACTAATACACCATGACGAGCGACTGCCTCACACAATCCAAGAGCTGTTCAGTTTAGGGAACTTTTTGAAATATCTTCACAACATTAACAGGACAAAGGAAAAAGAAGCACACAATTGTTTCTTTTCCCAAATATAAAATCATTTGATAAAATTTAATATCCATTTCTGATACTTGAAATGGAAATGATTGATACTTCCTTATATGATTTTTAAAAATACACATTTCAATTCAAAAATTACCATCATATTTAACTGTAAAAATACCAGAATTGTCCCATTAGGGTCACAAAAAAAGTTAACAGTGCCCTTTATCACTACTATTATATTAATGTAATATTATTCTGGAAGTGCTGAACAAAGCAATTAGACAAGAATATAAAAACAGTCATGAACACTGGAAAAGACTAAACAATCATAATTTGTGGATAATAAAACTTTTATTCCTGGAAAACCCAAAAATAATAGAAAAAATTTTTAAAAATAAAAATAAGATCAGCTACAAATAATATATACAACAATGACTATCTCATATGTAAATTATAACAAGTTAAAAATATATAATTTAGAAAATCATTTGCCCCAAAATACCTAAAAATAAATTTAACAATAAATGTGCTGGACATATATAAAGCCAAAAATAAAGTCTGAGTAAAGATCATTTAAAAGATTTCAATAAATGGAGATTCATGTCTTTTTATTGGATAAGAAAACTCAATACAATAAAGATATATTTTTCCTAAATTAGTCCATAAATTCAACATATCAATATGGCATATATTTTACCTTGAATAAAAAGAGAATGATTCCAAAATTTTTCTGGAAGAATAAACATCTTACAACAGCCAGAAAAATTCTTTAAAAGAGTGGTACTGAAGAACTTGTCTTGCTAGCTATTAAAAATGTATTAGGTGGTGACAGTTCAGGAAAGCAGTGTGGCTTGACAAAGGAATCAAAAGATAGCTCAAAGGAACAGAAAATGAGCTTACAGCAATAGTCCCAAGTATACAGATATCTCAGCACCTAACACAGTGGTCATTTCTAATAAGCCAGACTATGGAAATGGAATGGCTGAAAAGCCATTTGGAAAATACAAAACTGGAAGCAAATCCATTCCTTACTGCACAGTGAATTCCTGAAAGGACAAAGGTTTACACGAAAAGAAAACAAACAAACAAACAAAAAATGCTAAAAGAAAATATGGGAGAATATTTATACAATCATAGGGTGGGGTTGGTTGGCCATTCTAAACATATGAGCCTCAGGAAACATGAAATAAGACATAAATCTAACAACACAAAAATGTACAATATTGAAATGGCTTTAAACACCATAAACAAAACCAAAGATGACGACAATAACAATTTCATAATTCTTATGACAAAGGCCTATTATCTGCAATATACAGAGAACTCTTACAAGTCAGTAAGAAAATTGATATATCAACAGAAAAATTGGCAAAGGATATGAACAAAAGAAGAAATGCAAAAGGCTAAGGGGTGTGTTCAAGTCAGTTATCAATCAAATACATAAAAATGAATCATAATTTTTCACCCTTCACATTGGCCAAGATTTTAAACGTAGTTGAAAAGCAGTCATGGTAAGCATTTAGGAAAATGGGCATTTTCATGCAGTCTTGCAGGGAATGAAGTTTGGAAGGCAGTGTGTCATTATTGTGTAAAAATGTAAAATGTTCATACATTTGGACCCAAGAATGCTATTTCCAGGAATTTATTCTAAGGAGACCATTTCAGAAGTAAGTAAAATGCATGCATAAGAAAACTTCCTGGGTTTCCACCCAGGGGTGATTGGTTAAGAACAATTGGATATGTTCTTATATAAATGCTCTATAGCTGTTAAAGATGATGATGGTGAGATATGTTTATTGATTATCTTTGAAATTTTGGTTGAGAAAAAGGGCAGGTACCAGCATTTAATGTGATATCAAATATGTAAAATTATATATATTATATCTTATTTGTACCTATATATGTCAGAGGGTTTTCACTCTTGCTCTCTCCTGAAACCCTCGTAGCTCCCAAACACTGCATGGCTCATTCTGTCTCATTGTTGAGAAGACCTCCTCTGAAAGCAGGCACCAAATGGACCTCTTTATTTCTTGTTAGTCATCACCAGCATCTGAAAGTACCTGTGTGTTTCTTCATTTCCTGTTGACTTAAGTGCTGCCTCTCCCATGAGCAGTGAGCCCCACAGGAGCCAGGGCTCACCTGGTTCACCTCTGAGCCTCCCCAGCCTAGCACCGACCTGGCCCAAAGTGCCTGCTTGCTGAATACCTGTTGGATGAATGCATGGTCTTGTTCGACTGGTGTTTTTCAGGCCACGCTCTAAGAAAAATGCACACTTGTGTTACGGAATAAGGTGTGCCATGGGCAAGCAGGTTTTGAAAACCCAGGACTGAATCAAGCCAAAAGGGTTTATTTGGTGCAGAACTTCCCAGAGCCTTTAATACACGGATGCACATTGTGACTGTCCAAGAGTTTCCCAGCTCTCTTGACTCTAGAAGTCTCTGTTTCTTGGAGTATCTCTGGAGTATTCCGTATCACGGAACAGTGTGGGCTGGAGCATGTGCAAAATATCTAGAAAAATATGGAATTGGGGGCTGAGAGTAGGGCCAGTCCCTAATTTGACACTGTATCCTTTGTGTTGTTTGAAATGTTGACGTGAGTGAGCACATTTTATCAACCTGTCATTATTTTCAAGATAAAAGAATAAACATTAACAATGCACTTACTGTCTGAATCTCAAAACCAACTTTATTTTCCGAAACCATGGATTTCATTGAAGTTGTTTTGAAAGAAGAAAAGCCAGCTTGAACCAAATAGAAACATAGGAAATAGTAGAACCAGATTTTCTGGACTCAAATTCTACCTTCACCATTTACTTATTGAGGGACTTTGGGGAAATCACTCTTCGAATCTCGGTCGGTAAAATGAACCCCTTCATAGAGTTGTGAGGATTCAGTGTGATAAGATTAATGATAAGCCCCAATAGTAGCTACTGTCAGTATTATTAACCTCACCTGCTATGGACCGGAATTAAATTGCTGCACCTAAATACGTTTGAGTTCAACTTATTTCGCTCTGCGCGAGTCATCGTCTCCTGTACCCAAACCCTCCGGGACCTAGAGCTCCCCGCATTTGCTAAGTCCACAGAGGTTTCAGATGCATCCTGTGTTTAATCCTGCTCAACTCACCTGCAGAGTGTGGCTACGCCCATAGTGCTCTGCCTGCCGGCAGGGGCTGCAGGGAAGCCAGGCCACGCTCACACTCAGCCCCTGGAGAACCCAGGCGGGGACGAAGGCCGAGAAGCCAGCTCCCGCCGCTGGAGTTCTGTTTGTTCACGGAGTGGTTATGACAGTAACATCTGGATTCCATAACCAGCACCGGGGAAAGCAAAGAATATGTTTAGCTGTCTGGTGTATTTTAAGGGATGTAGCTTTCATTCTGCACGATGAGGAAGCAATTAGCGGCTTAAACTTGATGGCTTCACTCAGAGCTGATTCCATGACACCGAGCAAGGGATGAGCACAGGGGTAGAATCCCTTCACTGATAAACTGCCATGGTCTCCCCAAATCTTGAGTTCAGAACAAACAAGAGGGCTTTCTGCCCTTCCTGTGAATGACGTATCACAGGAGCTGGCTTTTTCACGGGCCCGGGGATTACTGGGAAGAGTGAAGTGGGAATAATCAAACACTGGAAAAGTTACCCAGAATTCTGATTATTCAACAACCTAAACCCAAACCCAGTCACGGCTACTGTCCGAGCAAAAGCGGCTGGTGCCAGGGGTGCGGGAGGGGAAGGCAAGTGGGGAGAAGTGAGTTCAAGACCCGTGTGAGACTGGAGAGCACAGGCCCTGATTGGATTAATCCGTGTTTGGATCCATCCCCAGTGCGTGGCCTCCCTTTCCTCCTAAAATCTCTGCTCCCCTCATCTTCACACTGCGGGCAAGGACAGTGCTGACCTCAGCGTGCTGTTTGGGAGGTCAGCAAGACAGTGCCCACAAAGGGCTCCGCACCAAGCTGGGTGCAGGAGGTCACGCCTACCTGGTCACTTTACTTTCTGTGAGCGTGGCACACGGCATTTCCCTGGAACGCATAAGAACATGTTCCACTGCTCAAGGGTGGGGCAGGGAGGGAGGCCTGGGCCAGCTGACCATCCACACACACCTCTGTCCACTTGTGTAACGGTCCTCAGGTTTTAATGTGTCAAAAATATTTTAAAAAACAAAGCTCAGGGAGCTGAAGTGACCTGCCCAAGGACACACAGAGGACTGGCAGTAAATGTGGCTTTGAACCCACTTCTCTGGGCCTCCCCAGTGTGGCTGCAGCTCCGCTTCTGGTAGCAGCACAGTCCCAGCCTCTTTCTGTGTTTGGGATCCTCCATCCCCACATGAGCCATTTTATTTCGCATGTGCACACGCACATGCACACACAAGCACACGTGCACACGCACACATGTGTACACAAATGCCTCACACACAGTAAGGGTTTAATAATGGCAGCACCAACTTCATTGCTAATATAATGACACAAAGACATTCTTAAGTTTCAAATGATATCACAATGGCTGTGTGTAATGCAGGCCAGGAAACCCGCCTGCCCCCCATAACCAGCCCCTCTACACGATGGGACAAGCCCAGAAAGCACCCGGGGACTCTGTGAAGAACAAGTGACATCGAGCACTCACAGCACTCAGGACGGACCTGACGCAGTTAGTGGTGTTGGTTATTATTGTTGTTGTTAATATTGGTCCTTTTCTCACTATTTACAAACCAAGATGCATCAAACTCTCCCCATCTCACCTTGGAATCTGTATGTTTGCTCTTAGCAAGAAGAAATGCTTTTGCCCGTGTATGTGGAAAACCCAGCCCTAAGCTGGCTCTGCCCAGGTCCACATTCCGTGACCAAGCCCCACCCCCGCCCCGGGAGAGCCACCAGCCACTAACCGGGCCACCCTGGGGACACAGCTTATGAGAAACTCCAAATTCCAAGAATAGACTCTTCCAATCTGCTCCAAACAGAAAGGTTTTTAATCTTTTTTTAACCAAAGCTCATTAGTTTAAACACCCCCCCCAAAAGTGTGATCTACACGTTTCCCTGGTATTATTTTTCAGATCAAGAAAATTATAATTTTCCTTCTTGAGGAGAGTCGACTTCTATGTGCATGGCTTTCTCCAGGTAACCCGACCTCAGCCCTGTAATTCATGTCACTGCCTTCCCAGCCTCACAATTAAACATGAGATGCCCAGACCGGAGGACCTGGACCACTGCAACTCCAGTTGGACAAAGGACTGGCCTTACAAACATTCTCTCCTGAGAAAGAACCACAGACCTCACGCCAGTTTCAGCCAGCTTACAGAGACTCTGTACAAACTTTCTGTGTGTCCTTCTTTGTATGTGTTCACCTTTTATGGAAAGAGCCAAATTCCGCCTCGTCGTAATGCTAAAACCCTGCCCAGAAGTGAATATGAGATGTATGTTACATATATGTTTACTCATTACGCATGCGCTCAACTCCTCTCATGGATAAATATAGCTTTCCCCCAAACCTGCTGAATATATATGACTCTACTGTGTGATACAGGCCTTGTGAGGCATAAAAACCAACTTGCCCTTTCACTCTTGGAAGAGAGAGCATCTTCGGGACACATTGGGCAAGGGTCTGACAATTTGCCTGATAGCTCCTACTGTCAGGGAGTTCAGCAAGAGTGCGGTTTCTCCTGTAGCCGTAGGAATTTAGGAAGTTGCCCTGCTAGCCAACCCCTGAGCCCTTGCCCTGCAGTTAACTTTTGTTTACTTAACTTTAGGGGCCATGTTAGTTGATAAAGGGACATCTATTTTGGTTTCTCAGATCACAGAACAGCTTATGCAAAGGCCCTGTGGGAGAAGAGAGTTGGAATTCTTTGAGAAACAGAAAGCAAGCCCATGTGGCTGCAGTTCAGTGCATGAATGGACCAAGTGAAGAGGAGGAAACAGGCAGGGACAGATCACGAGGACTCTGGTTTTAATTTTCACAGCGCAAGGGAGCCTTGGATGATCTTAAGCAAGGGAAAGACGTAGTCTGCTTGACTTTTTAAAGGATCATCAGGGCTGCTGTGTGGAGAAAAGGCCGCATAGAGGCAAATCCAGAAGCAGGGATGTCAGAGAGGACCCTGTGGCTGTCGCCCTGGTGGGAGACAACACGGGTTGAGGCTGTGGCAGGGGAGGAAGGAAGGGGATGAGCTTGAGAAAGCTGTCGCAGTGAGTTCCTGGTGTGCCGCCCCATTCCCCAGGCATTCTACCCCGCCCCACACCCAGGGCTCACAGCCCCATCTGCTCAAACCCTCAGTGCTAAGGGTCGTGGCTCCTGCCAGCAGCAGCTAGGGCTTCTAGCCTGGAACCCCGAGATCTATCCTGTGCATCCCATCACAGGACGCTGATGTCAGGGTCTAAGGAAATACTAAAGGTCCGGGGAGAACATGTCAAGAGGCAAGAAGGCTTCTCAGGTGTCTCCATATCACCGCAATGGCAGATGAACGCATGCTGCCAAATACGCCTTTCCAGAGACTGACCTTGACGGGAGGACAGAGGCTGCAGGACTGATCGCCCGGCATGTAACTTTCTGTCTGCTGTCCCTGTGTTCCCTGTTGTTTGAACGTTGGCAAGTGGCCTCTCCAATTTACTGCATTTCCTCTTCTTTCAAGCAGATTTTCTCTGCTTGGGATGTGTGCTTGGCTTTATAAGAAAGTGAGTCTCGGATAAGACTTGGCTTCAGAGCTACCCGTGAAAGCTTTTCAAAAATATAGAATCCAGGTCCCCTTGTGGGCCTACGGAATCAGAACTGCTCAGGAAGGGTCCCAGGCAGCTCTTATTTCTACGAGCCCCTTAGGTGTTTCTGGAGAGCAGCCGCTTCGGCGCAGCACCGCGTGTGAGCGTGGACGTGCGGAGAGGCGTCCGCTGCCTGTACCCTGAACGTGCCGTGAGGAGCTGCAGTGCCGGCCGGAGGCACAATGCCCAGAATGAGCTCAGACACGCAGGTCGGGGCACGGTCCTCACAAAAATTCCCTCTCTTCAGACGCCAGCTACGAGCTCCAGGATCCCTGGTCACCTGCTCTTCTGACCGACAGGCTAAACATCCGAGGGTTCCCATGGCCCCCTCAAGGTTTGATAGTTTGGCAGGACTCACGGAACTTCCTTACTATATTACAGCGTTATTATAAAGGGTAGCAATGAAGAGACACAGAGGGCGAGGCTGGAACGGGGCTTGCTTGGGCCCCCGTCCACAGTTTTTATTGGGGTTTCAGTACATAGGCGTGATTGATTAAATCACTGGCCACGTGACTGAGCTCAATCTCCAGTGCTCCTCCCCTCCCTGGAGGTCCGATATCCTGTGGGCCAAAGCCCCAAGCCCCTACTCACCTGGCCAGCCTTTCTGGTGTGCTCCGCTCCTGTGCAGAGCTCTCATTAGCATAAACTTAGATATGGTCAGAGAGGCCCACCACGAATAACAAAGATGCTCCTGTAACTCGGGAAATTCCGAGGATTTAGCCAAATCCTTTGTTATACCACCGGGAGACGTGCAACAGGACTAACGCCGTCACCCAGGCAAAGCCGTGTGTGGTGCCGACCCCCAGCAGAACCCGCTGAGAACGGCCCATAGGCACCTGAGACCCCTCCTCGCACTGCCCAAGACGCCAGGCGTGAAACAAAGACGATGATGGGCATGGCCACTTACCACAGGGCATCCTTTCCTTGGAGATAGGAGGACTGGAATTGGAGGAGGATCTGGAGAATATTCTGGAAGGAGGTCTCTGTGAGTTTCAGGGAAATTCCCTGAGTTGTGTTTCCTTGGTGATATCCCAGCTTCCTGCAGGGCGGGCTGGGCTCTGGGTTCCCCTGCTCTGGGAGCACAGGCTGGTGTCACTGCAGAGGCAGAGGGGTGGCCCAGGCCAGGTCCCCACACAGCACGATGCCTGCGACACAGCCCGTCACACCGAGGGCCACTGGTGCCGAAGAGGGTTCTGGGTATCGCGTTTCCATGGTAACTCCAGGCCTGCGCTCCACCCCAGCCTCATTTCTTACGACTGTAAAAGGGCGACTGAAGGAGACAAGGCAAAGTCTGGTTTTCACCGCAGAGGACCATGATCCGGGGAATTAAATTGCTCCTATTCTAGCTGTGCTTGCCCAGCCCCGTGGGAAGAGGCAACTTCACAAATTAGCCCCAGAACGCTGGTGGAG